ACAATCTATGGAGAACCTAGAAGAATTTGAAATACCAACTAAATTAGTCTAATGAATAAAAGAATGTAATACCGACACAGGTTGTAAAGTAAAATTCCGAAATAAATTATCAGAAAGTTTTGAAGTGAACACGGGCCTGAAACAAGGCGATGCGCTGTCACCACTACTTTTCAATTTAGCCCTTGAAAAAGTTGTAAGGATAATGCCAACAAGTCAAGAGATGGAAGTCTTAGGAAAAAACACTATACTTGCATATGCGGACGATATTGTAGTAATGGGTAATTCACGTACTGAAGTAATCGATGAAGTCCAACAATATGCATAATGAAATAATATTAAGAATCTCAGCAGCCAACAAAGGATATTATGCATTGATAAAACTATTTAAATCTAAACTCTTATCTAAAAGCTCAAAGATTAACCTATACTTAAGTTATCTACGTTCAATCCTAGCAAATGGTTGCGAAACGTGGTCGATGACAAAAAGTGACGAAGAGAAATTGTTAATTTTTGAAAGAAAAGTACTCCGTCGAATTTATGGTCCTATTTCTGAAAATGGAGAATACCAAATTAGAATAAACGAGGAGATTTACCAGTTATTTCAAAAGCCAAACATAAAAGCATTTATGAGAAGTAAACGACTTAAATGGGCAGAACACTTATGGAGAAATAATGGTATCTGTAAACAAGTTTTGATAGGTGAAATCAACGGTAGAAGACCCAGAGGCCACCCCAGGCAAAGATGGGCGGACACATTAAAAACAGATCTGGCGAAGATTGCACCTAAAATGGAGCTAGAAGAGAGTGAAAATAAAGAGAGGTGGCAGGAAATAATGAAAGCAGCAAAGGCCCTCAATGGGCTGTAAATGCTAAAAAAAAAACCCAGCACAGGGGGGTCGTGGCACAGTGGTGACGTGGCATAGATGGATCAAGTATAATGATATCTGACAGTCATTAAAATCACTATCGAAAAAAAACGCTTCGATGCTAATCTTTAGATAGTGTTTAATTTTAAAAACTTGGTGGATTATTCCAAAAGCTACATGATCTGCTAGTTCCTTATTAATATCCTGATTAAGATAAAGTATGTCGAATGAAAAAGGGATATAAATATTATTTCTAATAAAAAAATTGTGTTGATCCATACACTTTTCAATAAGTTGTGGTACTATAAAGTTAAAAAATGTAAAAAATAAAATCGAGAATTTTCACACAATAATAGCATTCGGTAGCCATTTTTACCGTGAAGATAAAATAAAGTCCGAAATTTCTTTTTTCCATGATAAAGTATATTACATTAAATGATAAAGTATATTTATTATTTCCATAATAAAGTACATTACATTAGCTTTATTAGATATATATAAAAGTATCAGACTTACCGGAACATTTTCAAAAGTCAAGTTAAAAAAGTTGTCATTTTTAATCCTCCCCTTTGGGCAGGTAAACGGTCAAATTTATAAAAAAATATATCAAATTGATAAAGACATTATGAATCTATAAAAAAAAATATATTGATATAATCATTACTTGAAAAGTTATGGTAGTTTTAAGTAAAAAAAATGGAAAAAATTTTGAAAATTAGTGATTTTTAAATTTGTAATTTTTTTGGAGATTTCTCCCATCTACGTGGACGAGGGAAATTTTTTCAATTTTTGAAAGAAATCGGTTCGGTGAGAGCTGAGAAAAAGTAGTAACAGATACAAAAAAAAACACATCGTAGTAAAAACATACCTTATCAGCTTCGCATCAAAGCTAAAATTATTGAATATTTAATAAATTAATTAAGTTTAGAATATTTCAATTGTAGTATCTTTTGAAATACCGTAAGTTACATAGAAATGATTACTAAAACTTCTATTTAAATGCCGTAGTTAAAAAAACACTATTTTTATGTTAAAATTTTCGATTTTAAATTTTAAATTTTCAACTTAAAAATGCTATAACATTTCGAAAAATGTAATTATCAGCACAAATTTTTTTTAACTAAATACATTATAAGTACATTTTTCATTTGACATACTTTTTATTATAATTGGACAATTTCCCCATATATAGGGGGCGTTCAAAAATTGAAATACTTAAAAGTGTTTAAATATCTAACTATTTACTTACCTACAAAGAAAATCTAAATTTGACCTTTACCTGGTCACAAGTGGGATTCAAAATGACAACTTTTTCAACTTAACTTTTGAAAGTGNCTTTTTCACAAAAAATCAACTTTTTCAACTTAACTTTTGAAAGTGTTCCGGAAGGTCTGGCACTTTTATATATATCTTAAATTAAAGCTAATGTAATCTACTTTATTATGTAAAAAAAAATGTCGGACTTTATTTTGTCTTCACGGTGAAAACAGACATTAAACTTAATAAAAAAAATACGATTTTTGTAAAAAAATTCTTTTTTATATTTTTAACTTTATAATGCTATTCATTTTTAAAAAATGTATGGATCAATATAATTCTTTTTTTTGTAGATGCATGATGTCTTTTCCTATCATTTGGTATATTTTTTTTATAAATCTGACTTTTTACCTGCCTACAGGGGGGGATTCAAAATGACAACTTTTTCACAAAAAATTGACTTTTTCAACTTAAATTTTGAAAGTGTTCCGGAAAGTCTGACACTTTTATATATATCTTAAATTAAAGCTAATGTAATATACTTTATCATGGAAAAAAAAAATTTCGGACTTTATTTTATCTTCATGGTGAAAACAGACATTAAACTTAATAAAAAAAATACGATTTTTGTAAAAAAATTCTTTTTTATATTTTTAACTTTATAATGCTATTCATTTTTAAAAAATGTATGGATCAATATAATTCTTTTTTTTGTAGATGCATGATGTCTTTTCCTATCATTTGGTATATTTTTTTTATAAATCTGACTTTTTACCTGCCTACAGGGGGGGATTCAAAATGACAACTTTTTCACAAAAAATTGACTTTTTCAACTTAAATATTGAAAGTGTTCCGGAAAGTCTGACACTTTTCTATATATATTAAATTAAAGCTAATGTAATCTACTTTATTATGTAAAAAAAAAATTTCGGACTTTATTTTGTCTTCACGGTGAAAATGGCGACCAAATGCTATTATTGTGTGAAAATTCTCAATTTTATTTTTTACATTTTTAACTTTATAATGCTATAACTTATTGAAAAGTGTATTGATTAATATAATTTTTTTATGGGTAATACTATTTTTTAATAATCCCTTTTTCATTCGACATACTTTATCTTAATCAGGATATTAATAAGGAACTAGCAGTTTATGAAGCTTTTGGAATAACCCACCAATTTTTTAAAATTAAACACTATCTTAGGATTTGCATCGAAGCGTTTTTTTCGATAGTGATTTTAATGACTGTCAGATATCATTATACTTGATCCATCTATGCCACGTCACCACTGTGCCACGACCCCCCTGTGCTGAGTTTTTAACATTAAGTGCCATGAGTTAATTTCATGATCTTTCATAGTATTTCATCGACCATGGAAGTGCGTAAATATGACTTTACATTTTTGAGCGATGAAAAAACCATGATAATACAATGTTTTTGAAATTTTAATTTAATGTATAAATAATTGGTGTATTATTTTTGAAAGGCAATTGGGACTTTTTTAAAGTAAGGGTGCGATCACACACTCTGACCCCACAAATGACGTCCCTGTGTGTAACGAAATTTTTTTAATTGGTGTGATAGGTGTGGTTCTTTGGTGTCGTTGTAAAGATGTTTATTGCACTTAAACCAAGGAGCTCTTAGTAGTCTTTTTAGAAACTTATTTTGCATGATTTGTAGTTTGGCTATAATTAACTGCAATTCAACCAATTATACAGGACGTGTATAATATACTCAATACTATAGAGTTTATAGTATACACTGTGAAGTATGATTAAAATTTAATAAAAGTATATCAGAGGATATTATTTATCATGAAAACTAAAAAAGGCTTATTGTACTTATAGGCTTATTTAACTCTTATTGTACCTCTGAAAGAAATTTTGTATTTATTAATAAAGGAAAAGCTTTCATTTTTTTCCATCTTCTTAATAGCAGTTTAAAATCAAATTCGAAAAAAATATTACTTTAGAATAATGGATTTTTAATAAAGTGTATTGAGTAGTAGTTAAAATGTATTTGAACTAGCTTTTTTAATGACGTCAATTAATGAATTCTTATATGGATACCATGCATTAAGAATCAGAAATTAAAAATAATAGACTTCGAACATAATCCATAAAGTTTAAAATTTAAATGTTCTTTAGTAAATATATTATATTAGGCAATAAATCATTTTCAATAATATCAGTGTTAAATACTAATTCTTTAGAAGATAAGTGTAAGTTCATGTAATTTTTAGTTTGTTATCTTTGCTCAATGAATAACAGCATTAACTGTAAGTACCTTCTTCTAGCAGGTTGTAAGGTAATAAAATTTTTATTTTTTGGTCACATATCATTGTTGTATTATATTAAAAATAACATGATATGTGTTGTATGGTATAATGTAGAATCTACATAACAATCAGTGATTTTATTCCATATCAGCTTCTTGGTAAATGATAAAAACTTCCAAAAGTCCTAAGTAAAATCTATAGGTAATACGGAAAAGTATCAAGCGGAAAATTAGAAAAAAAATTGTATAAGATACGTTTTAATTAAAACATAGGCGATATATTTTTTATAAATATAGACGTTTCCTTCATTAATTGTCACTTGACCATAAATTATTCATACAGATGAGTAGTTATTTTTTTATGGGAATTAATGTCAATCTTATTATTAATTAAAGACAAAAAAAAAAATAACTAAGAAATTATTTATTGTCAATGATGTACATTAATATTATTAAAACAATTCTGTACAATCATGAACGAATCATGAAGATTTATAACGTCGATCAGTATAGGTAGTTAATTAAAAATGTTTGAACAATAAGGATCAGTATAAAATCGGTGAGAAAACATTATAGTGGTGGAAACCGTTTGTCTACTTAACATTTTATTACCGTCAACCTGTAGTGTGTAGTTAATCAGAGTTCTACTCGGCGTATGTAGCGAGTTGGTGCCGATCGGTTGTCTTGTGCTTAATGTTCGATGCTAGTAAATTCCACACCGACAAATTTTTTGTCCGTAAGTAATTATTTAAAATTATAATAAATTAAAATAAAAAAAAAAATTATTTGCTGAACTTATTATTTAACTTAGGTACTTATCGTTTATTGTGATTTTTAAGTATATTTTTTGTTTGGATGATATTCATTTATAACAAAATAAACCATATCGTACTGAAGTAAACAATAGAAATTATTATAAATAATAATTAATATATTATAAATATTACATTCACGAGTATATCATTTTAAACCATGTATTAAATCTCTGTCCTCTCCTGAATAAAGCACAATTATATCTTATATTTCTTACACATAGTAGCACAAAAAGTTTTCTAAATATCTTATTTAATAAATATTAAATTATATTTGTAATCTTTGTTTATTCATAAAATAAAACAAAACTAAGTATAAAATATCTATCTAATCCTAAAATATCATATGAAAATTACTCAATATTAACCATATAAAATATTTTATTATATTTAAAATCACCAACAGCAATAATCTTAGTGAGTTCATTATTTAAAAAAAAATAGTTGGTATAGACATTTACTTGGAAATACTATGTATTTTACATATAGTAAAATGCATTTTTAATAAAATAAATATTTTATCAGAATTGAATACAAGGAATTGTGTAAAAAAACTTCTTCGTTATACTTTTAACGTATAAAAAATGCATCATAATATTTTCTATTGTTTATTATGTTTATAACAATCAATTAAAAGTTGTGATTTCATGAACTTATTTTTACTTCCTATAAAATAACTGTGTATATTTATCAACAATAACATCGTTGTACTATCATTTCATTAATATTACTGAACTTGAACCTTCTATTTTATTAACCTAGTGACGAGACATTGGGAAAACTGATAAGGTTTAAATATATTCTCGATTGCAACAAAATGTCATAAGTACATACGTATGTAGACTATATTTTATTATGTTATAAAATACTCTTAATGTTTGTTTAATTTTAGTGAACACCAAAAGTCATTAATTATAAGTAGGTTATTAATTTAAAAATTCTTACTGGATAGTAAAACTAAACATTTTTATTCCTATGAAATAAATTCGTACTCGGATAAGTGTAATCTATATATTTTACGATTATAAATAGATACTTTAAACGACCTTCATATTTCACTTAGATTCTATTGATACCTTGATACTCTGAAACTCCATGTGTACTTTATTTGCCTAATTTTGGAATTTATAATATAATTTATTTTAATATATTTTATTCATTTTTAATGTATAATCTAGAAATTAAAAAAAAAAATAAAATTTAGAAAAGTAAAGTACATTTTAAGAAAATTAGCTATTACAAAACATGATTTCGTATAGATTTTCTTTTTTTATCATTAAGTACATTGCGCTACCTTTAACTTAATGTTGGTTTGAAGTAGGTAGGTTTTTTAACATAATTTGAAATTGTCAATTATCAATAAGAATTTAACAATAATTCATCTAGTTGTCAAAAAGATGCTTCAATATAAAGTTAAAACTAGAAATATAACATTGACTACTGTAATTCTTACAACATTTATTTTTATTAGCGGGATTGAGGGGAATTTTTCAAAATTGTGAAAAAAATATATTCTGTGTAAAAATCTGATGGCTAAAAATGTCATGAGGTTGGTATATTTTGATAGTATCATCCATTTAAAATTCCTGGTAGCACTACTGTCTAGAGAATATCAAATGTTATCACTAAAACAAACTGATAACATTATCAAGAAATTTGACTTAAGTAATATTTTCCTAGTTTTTGTTTGATTTTTTAAAAGTACATGTATATAAGATAGGCCATCGAAAGTCAACTGGAAATCATGTTATAAAAGGAGATGTGATTCGAACCCATGACCCAATTCATTGTAGAGGCAAACTTTACTACTAGGCCGCTGTATACTTATAATTTAGTTCTCGATAAATTTCCATATAGGTTGATTACATGATGTGCTGGTAAAAGAAAACAATACTGTATCAAGTTTAAAATATGATCATTTTCTTATGAGTATTCAAATTTTTTACCTGTACTATATGTATTAGAAGTTAAATGAAAATAGGGCTATTCATCAGCCATAGGAACTAATTGAAATAGAATTCTTTGTAAGCTATCTTCCCTAAATCTCGCGTTTGATATATATTCCAACTAATATAGGTATATTATTCAATAAAACTGAGTGTAAAAAATTAACTTTTTTTATGAAAACAATTTTCAACCTAAAAATGTAACCATGTGAGTGTGAAGTATAAATTTATGGAGGTACTGTTCAGAGTTAGTTTTTATTGCGTTCATATGCACAAATTGGGAGAGGACTTATAGGGGCAAGCGAAAAATTCTAGAAAAAATCTATGCACAATATTATAAGTTTTTTCATTTTTATAACCTATTAGGGGACATTATAGCTTCTTCAAAAATAATGGCTTTCAATATAATGACAATGTAACTAGCCACAGGGGTGGATTTAAAATAGCAATTTCTGAATAAAAATTTTCTTTTTCAACTTATATTTTTTATAGATACCTTAGGTATTTTACTATCATTTGATATATATTTGTGAACATTTGACCCTTTTCCTATCATAGAAAGGGTTTCAATATGGAAAGTTTTGTATGACTTCAATTAATATCAAGCACACCACTACTGTAGTCTCCATTTGTGATAAGGAATTTCTTATTTACATTTAAAATATTTTACCATATGGTTTTTTTGTGTCAATCATTCATTTTTCTCATCTTTCACTTGATAAAATTGTTTAAACAATACGTCAAATGATTGCAACTAGTGTCTAGTTAAAAATATTACCCTCCTTGTTTTTGGAACAATCCACCAATTTTTTAAAATTAAACACTATCTAAAGATTTGCATCGAAGCGTTTTTTTTTGATAGTGAATTTAATCACTGTCAGATATCATCTATACTTGTGCCAACTGTGCCACGACCCCGTTGTACTACCGTTTTTTTTTTGTTATTCTGCCTGTGATGGCAATAAACGAATAATTGGAAGTTTAGAAGAGTTGGTGATTTTAGAGTTAATTTTCTAGGGGCATTAAATTATAACTTTATTTGTTGTCAACTATCGATGGAAAAGTTTTTCTTTGGATATTATTTAAATGAAATACCCTTTTCAATTAAAAATAGAAATATTCCTTAATTTATTATTTAACATAGCTCTTATCTTAACATATACTTAACATAGGTTAAAAAGGGATGGAGGCAGTGTGCACCCCTGCCTCACTCCCTTTCTAATTTTTGCTTCTTCCTGGCTATTTCAATATCGTATTACTCCTATTTCTTGCTCGTACAAGCTTTCGATTATCCTTCTATCTTTATATGTAACCCTGACTCTGTTCAAGTTATTAAATATCGTTTTCCATTTTACATTATCAAAGGCTTTATCTAGATCAACGAAAGCTATATAAGTTGTTTTCAGTTTTCTATTCTGATTTTCAATAACTTGTCTTAGTGCTAAAATAGCTTCCCTAGTGCCTTTTCCTCTCCTAAAGCCAAATTGGTCCTCAGTTAGCAATCTCTCTATTATTTGTTCCATTCTTTTTGACTCATGTGATATTAAGCTTAGAGTTCTATGTTGTTCACATGTTTTTGCAGTTTTCTTTGGAATTGGTACAATTATGCATTTTGTAAAATCTCTAAGAACTTGCCCAGTTTCATAGATTTTTTGGATCAGCTCATAAATAATCTTTTTGCTACTTTTTCCACAGTCTTTTAAAAGTTCTGCCGGAATTTCATGAATTCTGGGTACTTTTTTGTTCTTCAGCTCTAATAATGCCTTATCAAACTCTTCTCTCATTATACTTTGATCTACTTCTTCCGTATCACTCCGACTTTCTTCTTCTATCTCCGCGTCTATTGTCGTATCTTCTTCGCAATACAGTTGTTTTAAGTACTTTTTCCAACATTTTGCTACCTCTGCTTCTTCATATGTAATATTGCCATTTGCTCCTGTAATACTTGCCGTTTTAGCTTTTTTTTCCTTAAAAAATCTTCAAACCATCCCATACGTCTTATCCATTAGTTCAACTTTTAGTGTTTATTAACATACTTGTTATTGTATGAATTAAAAAAAAAAATTACATTTTCTTCTGATACACCCGTATACTTGGATGCTTCAAACATCTTCAAACAATTTTTAGCGTTTGTTCTTTTTGTAATTTGTGGTCTTTGATGTTATAGCTCCAATCCTTTTAGAAAAAGTCTATGTTCAACTTTAGCATCTGAGTTGTTTGATACAAAATTAATCTATGAATTTATTCCTACAATATCTAATATTCTAAAAAAAATAATTATTGGCTTCGTTTACAACGACTTACTACAGTTGTTTTGTACGAGGCAGCTAGACCGCAGGACGGCTAGTTGTGCACTACACTAGAATGCCGTTTTACCTTTAGCCTGTTTAAATCGTTATTATTGAAGCGGGAATGGGTCACCTGAGGGATAATGGCTAACTTTACATTCAATAAGTAAATGAGAATGTACAATAATTAAATAACAAATAACCACATATATTAGAAATTCCTCAGAGAGTATCTTAAATTTAAGAGGTAATGGGGGGCCCTTAAATACTAGTGGCCGGCGAAGTGGCATAAAACAAAATAGTTAATCTCAATTAAAATAATCAATAAATAATATTAAAAAGAATATAAACTCAGCTGAATAGATGAAGTTGTTGATAATGCTGAGTGGACTGTATGAGATCTTGCGGTAATGGTGTCGAACATCTGAGTATGACGAGTCAGAGTGTAAATCTAGGTACGTAATGGCAGATGAGAACAGATCGCGAAAAGCGAATACGGCAATGGAGATATTTAGTGATGGTCACTAGTGGCGTGCAAGGACAAGTAAACTTTGAACACAAGGGTGCAATAAACAAATAAAAGAATAACGGCGTACAATGGCCGAACAATTTACCATTCAAGCGAAGGCACTTGTTACAGAAAAGAGTGACATAAAAAAACAATAGACTGACTGACTTACAACAATGAAC